CTGCGAGCACTTTCATGTGCACATCGACTCGGCGCAGCTGCTCAGGCCACAGAGAAGGAAACCTCAGCCGCTGCCACAATAAACCCAAAGTCACTCTTAATATCGTCCCGTTCCCAGCAACCAAGGGCTGGGAATGTCAGGATTTTCTGTGGATAGAAGCAAGATATCCACCCCACCTGCCTTAGAAACAAGGTGCCCCCTTCCAGCCCCACAACCAGCCTTGCTGGCAATCGCAGAGAACTCCCTGTTCCGAGTACGGGACCAGCTCGGAGCGAGCAACAAACCAGGGAAGCCAAAATATTTCCAGGTTTACGTTTGAATCCCTCCCTTCTCTGCCCAGACAACCTCGGGCACAGCCCCGCGCCTCCCCTGCCGCCACGCTCCCGGCCCCGATCCTTTTTTCCCGGCCCCGCTCCTCGTTCGCAGCGTTGGGGAGGGGGTGCTTCGACAGCCTCCGAGCCCCCCTGCTCCATCTCGGCGTAGAGCTGCGACCACAACCCTCCCCGCCGCTGAGACAAAAGCCATTTCTCAGCCGATCCGATACACCTCCGACAGGGATGGATCCTTATCACAGAATCCCAGCATGGCAGGGGTTGGAAGGGACCCCTGTGGGTCATCTGGTCCAACCCCCCTGCCAAAGCAGGGTCACCTACAGCAGGCTGCACAGGACCTTGTCCAGGCAGGTCTTGAATATCTTATCTGGAATCAGCCGCACTGCCCAGACGGACCAAGGGCAGAAAATCCCAATTTATTTCGGAGCGGATTACAGCCGAAACGGCAGAACTGGAGATAAACATGGAAAGCCAGAGCAAACCAGAGGGGTAGAGCAAAGCCTGACATCTGGGACAGAACACCCAGGGCCAGATTTTGAAAGTAACAAAACAGTTTGCACGAAACCCCAGCACACCCCGTACTGGGAGGCACTGGGGGGGTGTCAGCCGAGCAGCCCGGGAAATCAGGGTCCCAGCCAGGAGGGGAGAACGCCCGGGAGCATCCGACGCTGGGACCTGGCACAAGCTGGAGCAGGATTTCTGCCAGGGAAGCTGTCAACAGTGGCCTGGCTCTGCCCAAACCCCCCTCCTCATGCCCGACGCTCAGAGGTCACCCTGACCCACGCAGGGTGGGGGACCCACGCTGGTGCCCCCGGCCCAAGGATGCCCGATACGGGGGCTGCCCAGGAGCCAGCGAGGAGAGAGAGAACCCAGTCCGGGGTATGCACGAAGTGTGGAGGGGTTAAGCAAATAAATAAATGGGGCAGGACTCGGCGAGGCACCCACCCTGGGCAGCCTCCAGCAGCCCCCCTCACCCCGGGCTCC